GGGGGTTAGTTTAGTGTCTTATTCAAGTGTTTTAACCCTTGAGTAAGAAACTAAACTAACCCCCCCCGAATGTGGGTTAAAACACTTGACTAACTCCCCCTTTGCGTTCTAAAATCTGTAATAAGACACTAAACTAACCCCCTTCGGGGGGTTAGTTTAGTGCCTTATTCAAGTGTTTTAACCCTTGAATGAGCAGTATGACTTGGATGAATATTATTATTAGTATCAGATTACCTTTTTGGTGATGGTAACGTCTTGTTTCACTTTTCTTCATTTCTTAAATAGTCTTATGTCGCTGTTCGGAGACGATGTGCTGCTTGTAGAGCAGTGATAATGCGACTGGCTTGGTACTAAGCGTTATTTGTATACTCGGTATTGTTGTTCCACAACAATGCCGTGTATAAACAAATATAAGGTGTTATTGTTGATGACGTAATTTATTGACAACGAGGAATCACAAATTTTTATAAGGAGATAGGTTTTCATTGTTGATCTCCGGATATTTTTCGTTCTCTTATGTTAAGATTACGTCAAGTGTAGCAGCTGATTGACAAACACGGCCTTTGTTGTCGGAGAAAAATAATCTAGGTCTGAAGATGGCTGACATTAACGCAACAATGACGTAAGGTGACATTAACGCAACAATGACGTATGACATTAACGCAACAATGGGTGACATTAACGCAACAATGACGTAAGGTGACATTAACGCAACAATGACGTAAGGTGACATTAACGCAACAATGACGTAAGGTGACATTAACGCAACAATGACGTAAGGTGACATTAACGCAACAATGATGCACCTACTCTGCAGTGTCCTGACATTTCAAATAATGTCAGCGTATTTCAGACAGTTGCTTTGTTTTGAACTTGTTCAAAAACGAAATAACGGTCTGATGAACACTGAAAGCATTTAATACATTAAAGCCCCAACGAACTGTGTAATTTGATATCACGGTTGTCATTCCAGAGAGAAAAAAATGTTTGTTCTATTCAAACACAGACCTGCTTGTTTCCAGGGCTGATTTCATACAATTAAAAGTATTAAACAAGCCATCGAAGTAGCAGAATATTGACGATGGCTGTGTGCTGTGTTGTAGCGCCCCGCAGTCTGGCAGAAATAAACCAACATTTCGTAAGTCCATTATCAAACGTCGGTGGACATCGACCAGACTACACGGCGCAACAACCCAGAAGACAGAAATCTTCAGACTCACCGCCGTTAAAACCTCAGATCCTACTTAAGATTAATATTATTTCAAACCTTGAATAATTCATTCATTCATTCATTCATCCACTTTTTATTTATGAAGCATTTCACTGTACAAAGTAAAAAATAGCTTAAAAATCTTCCCCTTTCATAAAATTCTTGGAAAATTCAACGGAGAATTATGAATAAGGTGGTATCGACGTTCTTCTGGCTTTGGATACTTTCAAGTATGGTTGCCCACACACATTTTCAATCGCACATTCCAAAACGTTGTCATTTCCAAATTCATTATACAATTCATGATTCATTTACAAGCATATCTCAAGCATTCTTAAATGAGCATGGGTGATGACGTCATCGCGAAATATAGTCCCATCCGTCACGTTGGTATCACCGACTGTGGGAATCGGGAGATTCCCCCGATGTCACAACACCAAGAAAATCAGTTCTTTATATGACACGTGTAGTTAGAAATATCACCGACAGATTGAAGCACAATCTCTCGTGTAAAAAACAATGGACAGACGGACGGAGCGACAGGACGCTTAAAAACCAATCGATGTAATCAATCAACACGGCCTCAGAGAGTAATCTAATTAGAATAATCCAATTTAATTAGTTTTTGTTATGGTCTGTGCGAATTGCCACAACTACACATTCTCGTTCAGCTCCTGCAGCTGAGAAGTGAGTACCACGGACCGAGCCCCTCTAAGTGGCTGAGATGCGATGCATGGAATGCTTCAACTGAATTGCAAGTATTCACATTACACGTTAACGATGGCCATTCTAAAACCATGGCTTACAAACAGTCGTCATATCACAACGAAAATTGTTCCCACCAGCCCGAAAGCTCTAGAACTTAACGAGTTGTGATACAAAGCAAAAGTAGGCCACGGAAGTATTTTAGTTCGTAACCTCCATAAACGTCCACGTCGAGACGCCTAAGAGAGAACGCAAAGCTTCAATGTGTTATCACGGATTATGCAAAGCGATGAATTAACCTCCGTGACTTCGTGAACTAGTTCACGCTGAATGTAAACGACTATTTGAGGTTATGACGCGAAACCAGAAACAACTGAAATTGTGGACATGAGATTATTTTGCTTGCGAATAATGAAAGACCATTCTCAGATATCATTTTATCAAAAGAAAAATCGAGGATAGAACCTCGTTTCCGGAGAATCTGACGCAAATACGTACAATAAAATACATTACAGATTCTTAAAGGTCCTTATTTACTGTTCATTTTACATATAGGTTACATTACCCTTTCTCTTACAATTCCTGAGGAATGAACATTTAAATGTGACTCTGCGCTGGATCTTTGTAACTTACGCTGTTTTTGCCCAATGACCCTTCCGTGTAGACGCATTTACGTCAAAACAAACAAAACTGACGTCTTGATAATTTTCAAAATACCATCGAATGTAAGAATATTTAAAATAAAGCTGAGAAATTCTAATGAGGGTTAACCAGGCAAATTCCATTTTGCAAGGAACAGATTAAATTAGGACAAACTTTCTGTACACTTTAATTGACTAATTAGTACATCGGTTCATAATATTTGCCCTTCAGATATTATGACGGCTGTCAAATCTGGGAGGATGGCCGAACATGCAGCATGCATGGAGGTGACAATTATATGGAAAATATCTTTCGAAACGCTTGAAGGAAAGCGACGAATTGAGAGACCAAGCGTAGATGGAACAAAATCATGACAGTACGTTACGTTTTGTGTACGCTGTGACTAACATCGGGTTCCATCGGGTTATTGGGAATTTACTGTTAGCCGTAAAACCACTGCTGTATGGAGACAGTAACAAAGCTGACACAATTTCAAACGCCACTCCCACGAAGAGATTAAAACTATACAGAAAAAAGAATTCATTTTGATGTGGACTGTAGGCCAATGTTAAAAACTGTTTTACTTACCATGGGGTTCCTCAGGTCCCAGCTGAGGATATCCCGTGGGAGAGGTTCACCCAGGTTCACCCTCTCCACGAGGTACAAGCTGCGAAATCCTCTTTGAGTTGGACCGTGATATGAGAGACTACCGAGTTTGGACCCCGGTCTCGGAACCGGATCGTCGCTGTGGTATGCGTACATCATCCTCATGGTGTCGTTCTGTAAAACAAGACGCGTGTGACGTCAGTGGTTAATTTAATTCATTTCTCAAGGTGTAGAATTCCATAACGCTCACGTGGTAAGGAAATTAACGAGAATCCAATGCAACCATCTCTTTATTTTGTTACAAAAGAATTATTCGCGAGTACCGAAATGTCCCCAGAAGTTTTGAGCACAAGGTGTCATATTTCATCATAGATCATGTATTTTGAAGTCTCTCGTGACGTATACATTAATCAGCTATCTGTCCCAGGAGTGCCATCTGTATTGGCTTACAACCACGGAGCTGCTCTGAGCAAATGGACCGCCATCAGCGCAAATTACGTCCATCTGATCCAAGCTCACAGAATGCGAATGGACAGTGTTACCAACCTAAGCGAAAAAGAATTACCTCCGTACAAACAGAACGTCCAACTTGAAAACTGTACTTGCTCTGAGGGAAATTTGTAGCTGCACCAAGCCTTTGACAAGCAATGTCCACTTTATTTCAGTAATGGTAATAGGTATTTTATTAACAAAACCGATAAAAGAATTTACATAATTACTTTGCAACATAACCATCTCCGCGGTCCACGCAATTCCGCCAAAAGTCCAGGTAGTTTCATGATTCCGCGACGATCAAACTGTGTAAGTCTTTGCCTTCGTTCTGACGTCATCATCCGACATCAAGTGACTTCCTCTCAGATGTTCCTTTATCTCCGGAAAGAGATGGAACTAAGATGGAGTCAGGTTAAAGTCTGGACGGTGGGTGGTCCAAGACAGTGAAACCGAGGCGGTGTGAACCACTACATCTTTCATGCCCTGCTAAGAGGTCGCGATCCTGGACCGAAACCTGTTCCAAGTCAGAACCAACCCTGGGAATGCGTACCTTCAAATTCTACGTCGCCTTCTGCGTTCAGAAACTCACTCAGTCACCCCGAGCTGTTTGTTCTGCACTGACACAGTCTCAGCGCCATTTTCACGGCTCTAATTCAGAGTCCTCTATTGACACAACTTTGAAGCTTCACATAAACTTGCGGGGAGTGTCTAATTGAAAGGGTGCAATCTATGTTACTTCGTACATTACGAGGGCTCATTTCTTTTAAAAACGTAAGGCAGAGAGAGCGAGGAGAAATGGACGGAGGGGATTACAGAAATGTGTGGTCGCGAGGTGAACGCTACTCCGCCATGTTTGTACGGAGGAGGTGAGTCATCTGTCCTGCTGTTTTAGGAGAGACGGCCGATCGCGGAAGGAGGAGAGATGATGCAGTTTTTCAGTTTCTTTAAATATGAGGAGAGACGAGGCATAGAAACGATTACTGATTATGGATGTGTGTTCGTTTTCAATTCTAGGCGGATCAGATATGCCAGATAACACACAAAGGAAAGACAAATCGTGCTCCTTTGACCCAAGGAGATTTACAAGGCGCTGGTGAGGCGTTTCTGGAGAAAATACTGTCACTTGGAGCAGCTCGCTGGAACGGCCAGCATTGTACAAGTCACCTTTCATTTTTAATATCCCTAACTTATTATTTATGCTTTGTCAGAAATATAAACTGTAAAAAAATATGATACCTTGTTCTTTTGAGTTATGAACACGTATTTCCCCCATTAGCCATGTACTGTGTCTTTTTACATTCCTCCTTAAGACACGTGAAAAGAGTTTGAAAAATCTTTTATAATTGTACCTGAAGCTATTTTGAATATTCTTTCTACTTTTCCTGATACAACTGATGACTGAGCCCATGATTTCTCGTCAATACTAAAGTCTACGATTTTCGTTTTTGCAGAATTGTAGGTCATATTTCCTTGCTTTACCCTATTTCGCGTGTCTCTTATTTAGCAGGCCCCAAAATCTCTAAAATTTTGTTGACAAATTAACAATGAGTAGGCTATTGCAACTTTCTGCAGAATAAAATTAATTTTGTATTCGTTTTTCTTTTTGAAAAAAGATAAGCAGACTTAAAAGATTATCTAAAACCATTACAGAATCTTTCGCTTTACTCTACAAAAGCCCGAGGACTAAAATATTTGAATTACACTTTGGGGTCTCACGGTTTCATTCGTTTCTGGAAGTCTTAAATTCCCCTTTAACACTGGGAAATCTTCTGGCTGAAACAGTGATTACTTAAGGAATACAATTCCCCGGAGCAATAAATGTTCCTCCGTAGTCTGAACTCGGAACAAAAGATTTACTCAGCTTGATGCAGACATTCCCGTGTTATTAAGGTCTTAGGCTCACTAATACTAGCTCCCCCACTTATCGTGTTAAATCGAGATTAACTAAAGAAATTAATGAATTAATATGGTAGGAATGTGACATTCGCCTTAAAACGCAAAAATTCAACCATTCATGTTCTCCTCCTCACTTCTTTAGCCTCCATACAATTTTTTTTGAACCGTCCTGTAAGATATTCTTCTATAAATGCCTTTAGATATATTTTTTCCGTAAGATGCCGTGTAACATTTTGCACATACAGACTGAAGTTTTAATATTTCTGTCACATGTTCCAATACCAGCTACTTGCTTATCCAAACTATATTTGTCTGTTTTAAAAGAATTTCAAATATTTCCCTTACAACCGTCTAAAATCTCCCACTGAGTGAGAGACTGAAACGTCCACCCTCCGGATGACAGCGACAGTTTTGGACAAACACATTTGACCTAGCCTGCGAACAGGCCGTCACTTCTCGAGGACCTGCGCAGGTGGCGTCAAAGCTAAATACGTCTGTATCCTGACATTCATGAGTAGCTGTTACACAGATGTTCAAAGATAAATCAACCAATTAATCACCAGCCGGTTTATCGTCTTTGACGAGTCGGAAACATCTGGTTACGCCGACGTGTACACTAAAGCAGCGTATTTGGTTTATAAGGACGCAGTAGGATAGCCTAAATATTTGAATTACGCCAGTGCAACACAAATGACAGTGTGGCACGTGAATCATGTTCATGGGAAGCCATAATTAAGTCCTAACGTCGGGCAATACGTGCAATTACGTATCTCGAAACACTAAACGCGGACTCAGTGGACGGATGCGACAAATCCCAATTGATCTCACAAGGTCTGATGACGTACCTGATTTATTTAACGACACTGTATTAAGAACATATATTACTTTCAAACACGCCTGTCTTCTGGGTTGTTGCGCCTTGTACTCTGGTAAAAGTTTGCCGACGTTTCAGAGGTCCTTCCTGCCTCCATCATCAGGGCGAAAATTTACCAGACTAAACGGGGTAACAACCCATAAGACAGCCATCTTAAGGTCATTTATGTTTTCTGTGGTTGCTTGAACAGACGTCAAAGAGTTCATATTTTATTTTAAACACCAAAACCAATCTTGAACGAACAGCTCTCTCTGTGCATTGAGGCAACCGCTTGTACAATACTGCAGTGTCCCTTACCTTCTACCACCACGGAATCTGCATAATGTTCAGGGACTTTGTTTTCCGTATGGCGGTCACATTTTCTTCCTTGTACAACGTGTCATGGTTTCGTTTCCACAAACTTCATATAGGAAGCCTTTCTCGACAAAATCCCTTCACACGCTTTTACAGAATGTTTCACAAGTTCCTTCTCAGTCTCGTGGAGAAGCCCCAAATACTTCCATTTGCAGTTTCATTGAAAAATAAAAGCGGAAAGCAGGAAAAATATCGACTGCCTCGGTCACAAGTCCCACACACGCACGTGCACAAACAGAAAAGTCAACGTCAACTTCTCTTTTAACCTCTCAATACATATTTTAATAGCCGTTCTAAGCAGTTTCTGCAATAAGCCTGCTCATTCCTTTCTCTCATACGGTTCAGCGCCGAAGTACAAAGCGTCGCCCTTCATCCTGAACACGATTGGTGGTGATTCACATGGAAATAAATGCCACGGGGTAAACAAATGAATAATTTGTGAATTCCCAAATATTATTAAGTTTATGAAATCAAGGAACACCTGGGAGCACGGGGGACAAAATAAATGCACACACACATTTCGTCGGAAGTCGTCCACAGAAAAGAAAAGAAGGCTTACAAGGGAAGATGAAATTAAGAGGAAATGGAGTAACGTGGGTTACGATGCTGGTCAGTGACAGACAAATGTTAACGCGATAAGGGGGCATAAGACGTGCAAATTTCTCTTTTCGCCAGTAAGCTACTATCAGCTTCGCAGGAAAAACCCTGCTCCGTGCAGAGAGACGAGCAGTGAAGCTGTCTCTTCCTTCGTCACACGCCCGTGCGAGTTAAATAGCAGTCTCAACTGAAACAGCATCTCACCGTGATCCTGTAGTCACGTGGGTCGCACGTGTCGTAGCGTCTCCGGAACCTGATGACCGTGTGGGTTCCGTTCTCATAGCCCAAGAGCAGTTCGTAGTCCTGACTCTCGTCCTCCTCGGGCTCGTCCGTCCCCCGCGCGTACCGATCCTGAAACGTCAGAAAAACACAACTTAAGAGGACTCAATGGAAATTGAACAATCCGGGCTCCTTACGCTCAGACTAGTCCGTCCATCTTTTCACAACTTACAGACATTTAAGTCAGCCAATTTTCTTCAAGTTCTGTCAGCCTATCGGGTTTTCTGTCATCTGATACCTGAGGCAGACAGCGCGCCCAGTTTCTAGAGCTGAAGAACGAATTTCGGAATTGTCTCTGTGAAAATTTTAAAGGATTCTTCATTCGACGTGTTTCCTGGATACATAAACTTCAAGTGTAATATTCTTAGGCAATTTTAACGTGGATATAAGAATAAAGCTAGAACATATTCTAAAGGAATAACGTGTCTGGATACTTCGAGGTCACAACAGGGGCAGAGACGGGCTCTTGTGAAGGCGACAACGAACCTTCTGGTTACGCCAAAATACAGTGCCCTCCGCAGATCGGAACCAGTGAACACTGCAAGAAGTTGGATGTACAGAAGACCACATCTACATTAATACTAATATTAAAAACCGAAGATAAGTATAAGTGAAATTATACATGCCTTATAATTCTGAAAAATAAATGCGTAGACTTTCCCACCTGGCAACATGGCCCCCCGAATCATGGACGAAGATAATCTGGCCAATAAGTGATTCATGTTCAGCCTTATTGGAACATAACACTGCGACGGTCCTAACACTTTATTATACTCCGGTATTCTTAGCCATCCCAGCGGGAGGGTCGGTCCTCATGCCTTAACCGTCTTATGGGGAGTGTCCGGTCACTCCCTTGTCTAATTACAATGCGGGAACTCGACGAGACGCGGACACAGAAGCTCAGATCAAGGTCGTACAACTGCGTTTATAAAGAAAGGTATTAAGATCAAAAACTTGTTCTGGAGGCTTCAAAATCGGCTTCTACGCTGGGATATCAGAAACATTAATTCAGTCGCATGCATAAGTTATTAGGGACAAGCATGAGAGCTTCGTGGACGATAAAGAATAAAGCCATCGCAAGGAGAAAGGCGACAGGGTCGATCTCAGAGTAATTACAATGACCATTACTGAAGCCCATTAAACCGGCCGGTCAATTTTATTTAACGGCGTGGATGGCGATTCAAAGCAGACTTCCCACTAATGGAATCCGAAGGCGGCTTTACACTCGGATTCTGGCGTCCTTAAGGATAACAGATAAATGCTCAGAAGCACCTGTCCACTCGTAGACGAATAAGAATGCTAACGTGATAAAATGAACGTCGTTACAAGAACACTGGAGAGAGAAAGGAAAAACGTAAAATGGCAAAGGACGTGGTAAAGACATAGCTGATTAAAAAAACCTAAAGTTACCCAGCAGCTGCAGAAATCGTAGTCATTAAACTAACCTTACCGTAGAAAGCCCGTTAAAAGTCGTATTTTAATACTTCAAGCCCTTTTCCCGCCCCCTTCGTCTGGATTTCTTTCCCATTTTTTGAACTTTAAAACATCCCACAGCATCACAACGGCAGATCGATGTTGAGAAATAGAGAAAAGTCGTTGTAAAGAGCACTCTCGCCTTCCTCGCACACAAAACTTCGATATCTAACTTCACGACCGAAAACTATCTCAACCGCGCGCTTCGTCACTCGGAGGACTTCCGCAAGGTCCTTGTCCAGGAGCACGCAACCGTGAAGGGACGAAAGCAGACACGCATCGGACCGGGTGTTGCATAACAGCGCTGCAATTTGAAGCCAAGAATCTCATCACACAAAGTAATTTCTATTCCACAAACAACATATCAGCGTTGTGTCGACAGATTATTAATATATTCTTCATCAGAATGTCCCCTCCACGTAAATGAGATACGAGAAATCGCGCAATCTGTAATTAATGTCAGCCCCTGAACATTCGACCCACGTACGTCTTCATGTAAACGTACTCAGATACCATGTTTCTATTCCCACTGGCGAATACAATTACATTACCTAATGATTTCAGCGATGATAAGCCAGGGCACGTTGTTACGTGCCTATAGACAACGCATGTGTGATAATTAGCTGCCTGCTCCATGGGTTGGTTCAGTGGCTTTATTGCCGTGTTCCGCAGTTAAAACACTACTATTCCTCCATCATAGTTAAAGGGGGCTGTCATGTATGAATAACAGGGTTTTTTTTTTGTTCCTGCCTGCCCCGAGGGTGATTAGTGACTTAATCCAGTAGTCACTGTAATTACGACGGAGTTGAGGTTGACATACTTCGCGTGTCGCCCGGCATCCGCAAGGTTGGCTATAAGCGACCGGTCTTACCTCAATTAAATGAAATTATAAATCCTCTGAAGTCAAGGACAACCCCGACTGATAACTCGGCATGATTCAAATTCCGATCTGACATATTTTTTTTGTTTTCGCATGAGAAAAAACCGGCAGAGTTACAGCCAGAAACGAGTTAAAAGTTCTTCAGGTCTAACAAGCGAACGCCGTCCAATGCAGAAGAGCTATTACAATCTCGAATAGCCGTCTATTATCGACTGTTCGAAGTCGATCTCTTCCAATGATCACTGATCGTCATTATGTCCCTGTTACACTCAGAGCACTTCTCGATTTTAGTTGCAAAGAGTACCCAATTAAGACGGAGACAAATCATTTTAAGTTACTTATTAAGAACTACATCCAAGTCACAAGCTGGAGCAGCTCTCAAAAAATATATGAATAAAATAAAACTGATCTAAGTGAGAAATTTATAACCAAGAATTATCGTGATTTTTAAGAGGGAAATCTAGGCGGCTGTGATGGACGGCTCGTATAATAATTTGACCGGGTGGTTGGGTTGCTGTGTGTAAAACATATTAAGTCTATATATTTCTTCTTGGATTTTTTTTTTTTTTGCTTTATAAATAAGTTTCTCGGTTACATTTACGCAGGCGACAAGACAATTTTCTTGATATCATGAACTAGTCAAGTGAGCAGCATAAGCCTTGCTTCTTTTACACCTATCACTTCTGAAACTAGCACTGAAAAAAGAAACAAGCTCGTTTGCTTAGTTACGAGCAGCGGTGTGGTGATTTGAACGTGGCGTCTATAAAATAAGCATTTTAAGATCCTCTTCAAAACCCCACACCCTAGACCGGCTCGCTGCGGTAGAGAGATGTCCTCTCACTCGTCAATTACCTCTAATAATGCCATATTATACGTTTCACGTCAGATTTTCAGTCAGGAACGAATATATACGTCTCAAATATTACTTGAAGTTTATCGACAAAATATGTCGGTTAAAGATCCGTAATATTAAGCTTATTCCTATGTAAATATAGTCCACGATACGCATTCTCGTAACTCTGCGCAGTTGCAATCCGTTTTAATCACGAATTCTTCTATCCATTAAGAATTTCATTATTAACATACGCGGTAGGTTCAGCTCCCCTATCAAAAAACAGGCGGAAATAATAGCCATTACCAACAGAGGTATAATATTAAAGAGCCTTCTAGAAAGATTGAATCTGACATCAGCGTAGCAGTGTTATGGGCTGGGGAGCCTCAGGGTTTAGTGAATCATTTGCATATGCAGTCGGAAAAGGTTTCGGGGATCAGAGCTTACAGTCTCGTACTTCGTAATACTCGTAGTTGATACTGGGCCGATGATGTTCACAGGGACATTTGTATATTAACAGAAACGCTCCTGGAAGTCTAATTTTGACAAACGACTACGACACAGGCCTGAATGGAGGCGGTCTTCATGTTTAAGCCAGACTGTCCAATACGCCAAAGCAACCCCTTTGACTCCACCTTCGATGTACCCAAAAATACAATTCTTACTTCCCTCTTTTTCATTTTAGAACAAAAATAAATGCCAGAATCAGATTATTTGACAAGTTCCACCTCAAAAAACCTGTGTCTCCATTGCAAAGGCGAATTACTTTGGTGTTTTTAGACAAACAGTCGGTGTCCGAGAGGACAGGAGGAAACCTTCCACGGCGTCGATAAAATGCAACTTCCTGTTAAGTCTGACTTTCCTGACGCGACGACATTAACTTAAACGAAGGTTACAGGTCGACGAAGAAAATGTTCACTGGAACATGTAACTGAAAACATCTATCTTTTTGAGATTTCGCCCTTAATGAGCAGTGATCAGGAAACCAGTCAATGGACTGACATTGCAGCCAAGATAGCACAGACACTGAGGTATTATACGACACGGAAATAAGAACTTATCATCGAGAAATGTGCTCATCAAGAACACAATCTTCAAACCGCAGCAGAAATTTGGAAGAAAACCACAAGACCTGCGATTAGTAACACGCAACGGGTCATAGCTGAGTTCTCCCTACGAAATGGGAGAAAACCACGTGTAGAAAAGTGAGTAAGGCCAAGGGGAGATCCGATAATAGTTTCATCACTCCAGGCGGACACATCGCCGAAAGGCACAGGCGCTCAACGACTTTCATGAATATCTTGTACTTTTCCAGCCAATGCCACCAGCGCCAGTTGAACAATTTCCACGCGTTCTTCGCATAAAGCGGATGGAACGACGCGTCGTGTCCGTCCGTCTGTAAAGTCGAATCAACTCGAGAACCTCTGGACGGATTGGGACGAAATTTTATGTGGAGGTTGTGCCGCTCTGAATATTCTACGAGCGGCGATAACAAAATACTTTGCTGTAGAATAAGAACTTTTACGAAGCTTTTAAAACGCTGTGTTTAAAGCGCGTTAAGGGAATCATTTTGGAAACCTAGCCTACGAGTTATGCGAGCTATGAAACGAATTAGGACCTGTTATTCTCAACCCTAGAATATATCACACAATTTCGATCCGTAGTGCCAAAATGGTGTCCCGTTTGCCACGAGGAACGGTGCACGAGCGTCATTTTTCTTTGATCTATTTACATTCCTCAAATATGAAATATTGAATTATATGTCATATCATCAGTTTCAAAGGGTTTTTTTTCCATGTATTGTTGATGTGAATGTACGCTACAATAATTTCATCCCTTATAAAAAGCAATTTTACGAACATACACGTTAGTTCATATAAAGTTTAA